CTCTCTCACTGCAGAGTCCCAGGGATGGCTCTGACTCTCCCTGTCCACTCCTGAGCACCTCCCACCCCAGCTCAGGCCACAGAGGCAGGAAAACCCCAGGCCCAGAATGAGACCCCTCCAGGACCAAAGTGAGGTGTTGGCTCCTGCCCCAACCACCGCCTCCTCCCTGCCTGCCTAGCCCTGGCAAGCCCCAGCTCCTTGCAGCCACCCCTCACCTGTCAGTCCTGCTGTGGCTGAGCTGGCCCTCTTCTCACAGAGCCTCCAGCTCCCCTGCACCTGGACAGGTGTGTGTTCCAACAATCAACAGCCTCCCCCCTTTCCTGCCTGGGCCCAGAGTTTATGGCAAACGCTTCAAATGTCCTTGAAAACCAACCAGAACTGCCCAGGAGCAGAGCAGAGCAGAGCCACCAAGAGAGAGGGGGACAGCAGCTTCCCCACCCACCAGAGCCACACAGAGGGTGGTGCCTGGCTGCAGTCAGGCTCCCAGGGTGTTGCTGGGCAGGGGTTGGGGAAGGGGAGCTCACACACACAGCAGGACATCGAGGGGTCATCTGCCCGAGCTGAGGCTCAAGGCCCAGGGAGCTCAGAGCTGGACATGCAAGGTTTGGAAAAGCACAGAGGGAGATGGGGGAGGCTGGGCAGGGAAGGTGAGGACAGGACGGCAAAGGTGAGGGGGGCAGCACGACCGCACCCTCCCTGTGTGCCAGGTACACAGTCAGCCTTGCCCAGATTAATCACCGTAAGTGACCACGGAAGCCCCATGAGGCAGGCAGGGTACTCTTGTTGCAGAGAAATGTCGTATCAGGGAGGTGAGGCTGCCTGTCCAAGATCACAGAGGCTGAGGCACAGCCAGGACTCCCAGCCGGGGTTGCCTAGGTTCAACCATTCCTCCCTCACCCGGTTGCTTTTCCAGACCTGGAGAGCGGCTACTTTCAGGACAGCCTTCTCAGTGGCCCTTGCAAGATGACAGCCTTCAGGCCTTCTCCTCGCCTGGCCTCTCCTCCAGCTGCTAACCCTCTTCCAAGGAGCCACCCAGCACCGCTGCCATCCCACAGCACCCAGCCCAGAGCTGCAGCATTGGCGGCAGCTGCCCGGGACCCAAAGACCCAAGGGTGGGACCCACCTGCCAGGCTCCCTCCCCTCCGTGGACAGCGGCTCCCTCTGGGAGTAGGAGGACGAGGTGTTCTGTAACTGAGGAGGGGCTGTGCTCACACCACCATCTCACCTCGTGGGCAGCCCAGGCATATCTGGACCCCAGGGTCCAGGGCAGGGCATCTCTTGTCCCCTCAGGTAGGCACAGGGTCGGTGCGGCAGGAATGGGGCCAGCGCTCATGGTGGCCTCTCTGTGCCTCGGTGGACCTGCCCCTGGCAGTGGGAGCATAACCCCCTCCCCCTTCATTATGTCACTCAGGTGGGCACCTTCCCCTGCAGGGCGTCTGCCCTCAGGGAACTCAAGGACTCTCAGAGACACCAGGGCAGACCGGCCTGGAGGAGCCACAGACAGGCCCCAGGGGGACAGCGAGGGAGAGAACTGGGACCCACTTAGAGCAGGGTCTGGGAACCCTGCCTGTACCTGGGGCTCAGGCCCTCCCCACTCCCTCTGTGTATCTGGCCCCCAGCAAAGGTGGGGAGACCACTTCTGGTAGCTAAGCACCCGCTCCCCAGCTCTCCTCACCAGGACATCTGTCTCTGTGGAGTGTCTGTCTGTCTGTCCCTCCCTCTCTGAACCTGCGTCCTCGGTGCTCCCTGCTCCTTGCCCCAGGGAGCCCACTCCCCCTCCTTGCAGCTCCCTCCCATCTCACTCAAGGTTCTCTGAAGACATTAAAGTGGTGGATTCACCTTGGATGACCTTGGCCTGGTCTCTGCTGGGAAAGATGTGACCTTGGGCCCCTGGGTGGAGACCAGAGGGAGTCAGGGAGACCCCATAACCCCAACACACACAGACTGCTGCTACCCAGCCTGAGAGGACCCATGGACGATGCCCAAGGCTCTGTGGACTCCCCAAGAAGCCATACTTGGGGACCCAGCCTTATGAGCTGTGGCTCAGCCAAGCAGGAGACCAGGGCTTCAGTGACACAGGGTCTTGCTTATCCATGAGGACAAGCATCACAGACCTGGCGGGAGCCCCTCTTTCCCTGGCATCTCCCTGGTAAGAAGTGGAGCATGAGGAGGAGCCCAGGGACCCGAGCCTGCAGTGCCCATGTGGCCATGGGAAACTCATTCTGGACCAGTGCAGGTGGGGAGGTCATGTCCCAGGCCAGCACCCTTGCAGCTGAGACGAGGGATGGACAGCAGCTCTGGGAACCAGCTTTATTTTTCTCAGGAGCCTCTCACTGGGAATCAGACAACCCCAGAGAGCATCTGTGCCTGCCCTTGGTGACAGCATACCCCAACCTTGTCATTCATTAATGTGATGGTCAGTCACTGAGCACCTGCCAGATACTGGTCTTCTGGCATCTCACGCTCTGAGCTCTGTCCAAGGTGGGACTTGGCTTTCAATCAGGAGCCATCGTTTCTCCCAGAATGAGCCATCCTCTTCTGGGCTGGGTTACAGCTGCCTCTTATGCCAAGGAATGGAGTTGGGCTGGAGGGAGGGATGGGTGGTGATGGGGGAAGAGAGGCGGGGTCTCAGCCCAACCTCAGCACCAGGGCAGCTGGGGTGCCCTGCTTCATCTTGCTGGGTCGGCTCACTGTGGGGCTGGTGGATTTGTCAGGTTAGAAATTGCTTTCTTCATCTAGAACAGAGAAAGGGGGTGGGGGTTGAGAGAATGTAGAGGAGGTTGAGAGGGGGGCTCCAGCATTTTTAGTTCCCCTAAGGGTTGTTTCTGGGCTGAATGGCAGAGCCCGTGCCACCCCATTGCACAGATGGGATCACCAAGGCCCAGAGAGGGGCAGGCTGGCCACTGGCCAGAAAACAAGGGAGGGAGAGCCAGGCCCAGTGGCCAACCTAGGCCAGGAAGAGGGGCTCATCAGTATCCTCTGAACCCCCCAGGTTTGGATGGGAGCATGCTGGTGTCCCCCCACCTCCCCAGCCTTCTCAGCATGGGTCCCCTGCTTTGCTCTGCCCTGGAGACCCTGGTACCTCTACCCAGGACACGCAGCCCACAGCTCTGCCCCGCGATGTCACAAAGAGGGACTGAAGGTTCAACAGCTCAAAGAGGTTGTGTGCCTGGAGGAGGGATTGTTAGGAAATGCTAGAGGGTAGAAGGCGTCCAGCCCACCTTCTGGCCACCTTCAGGCCCACGCCTCTGAGCCAGGAAGAGGGGCCGGGCCTGATGTGGGTGGGAGACCAGAGACCCAGGTCTGCAATGTCCAGTGTGGCCACTGGGGGATGCCAGAGTCCATGCAAGAGGCTGGGTGGGCAGCAGGTGGACAGGACCCAATATTCAGCACCCTCCAGCAGCACAGAGAGGGCAGCGCCATCTCCAGGTCCCCTGCCGGCCTCTGCCCCTCCCCTGCCCATGTGTCAGGCTCTGCCTGGAGTGGCTACGTCATTTGTCCAAGATCACATGTGTGCCTTGTTGCAACTCCATTGTCTCCACCCAGAGACTTCCCTTTGCCAAGTCCCCACTTCTCTTCACCCTGCATCATCCCCACAGCTCTGGTGGTCAGGTGATGACAGGGGGGGACCTGCCCTGCCTGGTGTGCTGGTGAGGGCACAGACCCAGGAGGGGCAGGGAGCAGCACAAGGCAGGTGGGTGGGGCGGGGGTGGGAGGGGAGGCTGGAACCTGAGCTCCTCATCAGCTCTTGCCCCTCCCCAGGGGCCTCACGTGTCGCACTTCCCAGTACTTGTTACCTGGTGCAGGGAGGTCTCGGGGAACAGCGTCAGGGTCACTGGTTCCGTGGGGCAGCCCCCAGCCAAGATGTCCTGGAGACCCTGCTGGGGTGGAGAAGGGTTATAGGTGCAGGGCCGGCACCCCCCAGGCTGCCTCTCTCAGACCACCTCTCCCTCAGGAGATCAGCAGGCCCATCCCCTCCCAGCCCTGCTGGCCGACCCCCACCCCATCCCCACGTCCCTCAAGAGTACCCACCTGATGTCCCGGAGCCCAGGAAGAAGGCTCAACCTGGAGGGCCTGCACCAGCTGGGGCCTTCGCACGATGCCCACCAGGATCTGGGACTCTGACAGGTGGAGAGGGAGAGGGAGGGAGGCGCGTTACAAAGAAACAGGCCTGAGGGCAAAGCTTCTGGAAGCCCCCATGCTCCTACCCCAGCAGCTGCCCAGGGGCTACCTTACAAGCACCCAGCCCTCTCTCTTTTGACAAGTCAATCACCCTAAGGGAGGAAGGCCGTGATCTCCATTTTACTGATGAGGAAACTGAGGCTCAGGCAAAGTGACTTGCCCAAGGTCACACGGTTGCTTGCTAAGCCACAGAGCCTGGATGCAGATCCTGTCTGCCTCGCAGGTCCAAGCAGGAGGCAGAGGGCATCACACCCTCCCCCCCGCCGCCGACTTCCTCCTCCCTTCTGGCTGGCACCTGTGCTCTCCACCAGGGGATACTCAGCTACGTCTGTGGAGGTCACGACCTTGACCACCTCCTCTAGCGGCATATCCTTGGCCAGCATGGTGATTCTGCGGTTCATGAAGTGCTCCACCCTCACGCAGTGGGAGCTGTGGGCAGAGGGCCTCCCATCAGGTCCCAGAGTCAAGGATGTCAGACCCAGGCCGGGCAGGGGGATGTTGTGGGAGCTTTGCTGGAACCAGAGACCCACGGCTCTGGAGTGTGGGCAGGGCTGGAGAGGTTCCTGGAATGAGGGACGCCTAGAACCTATTGTGGTAACCTGGGGACCACGTCCCTGATGGCCCAGTTCCGAATCCCCAGTCCCCTGGGTCCGTCCCCCTGTCCCCCAGACCAGCTCCACTTGGGTCTGTTTTACCCAGTAGCCTTCTCTGGAGAATTCCATTTGATTAAAAAGTGTATGTTGCCCCCAAGGAAAAACCTCAAAGTTTGAAAACCACTGGGATAAACAGCCCCATTTTACAGATGGGGAAACAGGTTCAGAGCAAGGCAGCAGCTTGCGTGTGCTTGGATCCTGGCCTCAGACCCAGGGACTCTCAGAGCCTCTTCGGTCTGCTTCTCTGGCGCCAGAAGCCGCTCTGGTACTGTCTGGTTGAGTGAAGACCTCAAAGCCCATTTCTATCCTCGTTCTACCTCCTGCTCCCAAAGTCCCAGCGAGGACTCAGGAGTGGGGAGAGGGGCGGAGAACTCTGGAATCTGATGCTGAGTCTCCACGTCACCTGGAGCAGGACACGGCCCCTCTCTGAGCCCCGGCTTCCTCACCCTGCACACAGGACAATATTCATGCTCCTGCTGTGAGGACCGGCTGACCGCTAGACAGACACTGAGGCCTAAAGGCCAAGGCCTTGCCCAAGATCACCCGGGGCACTGGGGAAGTGGAGACCGGAGCACAGCTGGTGTCACCCCTCCCAGCCCCCATGTCCGAGGTCAGTTGCGGTGGCGTTTTTTTGGAGGTGCCCTCCACCCCCAGCCAAGCCCAAACACTGTGACCCCCTTCAGCCAGCCTGAGGTGGGCGCTGCTCACCCAATGTCGCGGCCGAGGATCCGTGGCAGGTATGGCAGCTTCTTAATGAGGATGGTGCCTTCATAGAGGGAGGGCTGGCAGCTCTGTGCAATGGCGTTGGCTGCCAGCACTGCCATCAGCACGGGCAGCGCATGCACTATCTGGCCGGTCAGCTCGAAGGCCAGCAGGGCCGTGGAGATGGTGTGGGTCACAGCCCCTGAGAAGGCCGCAGCCCCTGCAGGGGCAGAGTCAGGCAGCGTGGCTCAGGCCAGGAGTCAGGGGGCCAGCAGTCAGAAGCCGGCCTCATGTGAAGGCATAACTAGCCTGGCTGCGGCCAGGGACTAAGGTGGCATTTGTAAGAGGCCACAGCCTGGGCACTGTGGGAAGTGCCCCAAGGCCCAGGCTTAGTGAGAAGAGAGGTATAAGGGAGGCCACAGAGCTGGTGACGGGACAGAAGCCATGAGGGAGCGACGGAGCTCGGGGAATGGTGGGGCTCAGGAGGGACAAGCCCCCACAATGCAGGGCTTGGTGGCTGCTCTGGCCCTGGGGAACCACTGGCCGATTCTCCAGGTCCAGTCCAGCCCCATGACATTGCCCACCCAGCAGGACTCTGACCCACTCACCTGCCAGGGCATACCCTCCGGGCATGATGGGATTGGTGATCCCTCCAGTCACGATGCCCTCAGGGAAGGTGACAGCAAGAGCCTCTCCCAAGAGGCGCCCGATGGCAGCTCCTGGCCACAGACTTAGGGTGAGGGGGAGCCAGGCTGACCCAGCCCCCCATAGCCCTCCATCCCTAAGGACCA